AATTTATTCTTGACATTTGAGTCAATTTCTAGGATTAAAGACTCCTGATCTTTCGTCAAAATTTTCATAATTCCGCTCAAAACGATCCCAGAACAATGAATTTGCGAGACGAACAGGCCGCCATGAATCAGGTAAAACAATATGTTACATGCAATTTGATTGGTCCAATCGCTTGTAGTTAACCAATCGCTGGGCCGTTTATAATCGAGCTAAGACTTCCGCAACAAATAATGCCTTCAGTGATCTGATTAGTTGAAGCTTTCATACACGTCCAATCGCAGGGCTGTTTACAAACGGAAAACGGAGAGACTGTTCGGGAGAGCTCGTGAAAACTCGACGATAAGGTACCTGACCGCCCCTAAAATTTTCTCAACGGATTTAGACGATTCACAAAAATGATCAATTTAAGAAATAAAACGGCGGATTTCCGCGGATCCGCGGAAAATTGCCATGTATGATATCTCTCAAAACAAGCACGTAACCCGATTGTGCTCACGTGAGGTTTCAAACCAGACACGAATGTACCTACTTCAGAAATGGAATCAGGGATCAGCCACAACGAGCACCTTTTAAGATGCTCGTGTATCACCACTGAGCTGCTATGAAAGGTAGGTTTGCATTGCATTAACAATTTCTGGTGAGATATGCACCAACGTTCGGACTGTGGTGCGAACACCAGGGTACACTGCATTACCCACACCCGGATTACTGTTACTGCATGTGCCCTCACAGACAGGCAGATGGCCATCGGAAGAACCGGGAGACTTGGGGCGTCTCCAGAGAAAAACTAAGTGCAGAATAAATGAATGAATAAATTAATTAATAAATAGGCGACTCATCGACTATCAAATTTGTTGTCCACGATTTTGATGCCATTGTTTTTCTTTGTGTGTTCCTTGTTGTCCAATGTGCGTCTATTGTTCAGCAGTGAGTTTACACGATATGTCTAGTTGGATCTAACATGGAAGTACCCATGTGTTGAAATTTTGAAAGTGAAGTATCTCAATATAGAGGTGTGTTTTATTTTCATTATTCTTTCAAGCTTTTACTATAGGGAGCCCACCTAAGACGAGTGGTACCCCTCCCACACTTTGACAATCGCTGTATTAAGGGGATGAGGAAAAAAATGCACGACTTGAGTTGTGTGACGAGTCATTCATGATGTGATCAATGTAATGTGATCTGCATGCCCCAAGGACACTGAAACAATGACGAGCATGTTCAGTGGACAAGTCTGTTGTCCTGTGTAAAGATGACTTCAGGGAATCGAGGTGTTTGCTTTAAAATGAGCTCCAACCTCAAACTGGGTCAAATGCTTGTAATTGTAATAGAAGGCAACCCATTTGGCGAGGTCAATTTTGTGAAAAAAAGCAACGGAAGAAGTTGTGCTTCACACCAGTGACATTTTACACCAATACCCATGGTGAGGTTCGGACAGGGGTCAGCAAACCAAAATGTTGAAAGAGCCATATAGGACAAAAAAACAAAAAACAATATGTTTGGAGCCGCAAAAAATAAAAGCCTTCCATAAAACTTACAATGAAGTAAACACATGCTGTATGTATGTAGGAGACTGGACTGTCTCAGAATTGTTTATGTTATTCATTCCTTTGTTGTGTGTTCACAAACGACCCCATAGAATTTATTTTGTGATTTCCTCACTTGATTTTCTGTTTTGGTGCATCTTTTTCGTTTTTCTTAGTGTCATTGAAGTAATCATTAATTTCCGTTTTTCGGAGGCTGTCTTTGAACGCCTCTCGAGTCGAACAAGAGGAGAGAAGGCACCGAGTCCAACGCAGACGTGTCTGTGTTGGTCGAGACTGTTAAAAGCATACATAAAGTGTACGTTTTAAAAAACCAACACCACCACTCTCCTTTTTTCAGAGCTGCAACATGTATCTATACTGTAAGTATATGAGCTATATTAGCCTACTATCAAGATGACTAAGTTTGCGACAATTACACAATGAGCCTTAATGATTAAATGTTTTTTTTCCATGCAGTGCATTCTGTAGAGCAGGGGTGCCCAACCTTTTTTGACCGAAGATCTACTTTTCGTTCAACCAACCTACCGCGATCGACCCGCGCATACACAACACACTTACAGACGCATGCCTACCTACTTCGTCGAGATGTGTCGCGGAGGTATAGGATGCACTTTTGCAGCGTTTTTGACTATCGTAGCTCACGTGTACCGTTTTAAAAATGCTTTTCACGGCCCTCCAGATTCTCTTTGCCAGTACCCTTGGTGAATTGTACATGATTCGCCGTTGTTTTTAAATTTTATTTATTTATTTATTGCAACAGCCACCTGCCTTGCATCACGCCCTGCTAATAGAAATGTGTGTCGCAGGCTATGACGCAACTCTTCGTGGACAGAAACTTTGAAATGTAATATTTATTCTACACATTTTTACAGCATTGGGAAACGTTAAGAATGTTTGTGTCATGTTTTTACTCCTACAGAAAGCATATTTAAAACAAAAAAAAATAAATTTCCCTCCCACATCTTTTTCCATTTTCAAACATTTTTATAAAGCTCCAAGAAGCCAAGATGGCGCTAAAGAGCCGCATGCGCCTCTGGAGCCGTGTATTGATGACCCCGTGCTAGTTCATTACATTCTCAGGCATTATCTAATTTTTACCTCAAATTAAAAACTAAATAAATACTTTGCCTTGAAAATACATAAAATAAAATCCACAATAAATTAAATGAAAAAAACGTGCTTTTCTTATACTCAATTCAGTAAGTTCCCATTAAAGAGGTATTTTAACTAATTATCAGGTATAAAACACTTGTCTCCTCAAGGATACAAGTTGTTGTTATTTTATTGACTGGTTTACAAAATGAAAATTTTTACTAAACATCTTGGAAATAAAATATTAAATATTCCGATGGCCCCCCTGCCACGTGCTTGTGTACCCACCCGATGAGCGAAACACTGTTTTACACTATGGCTGGGAATTGCAGAGTAACTTGCGATAAAATAGTAGAAGGTTTTCAGGCAATGATAAAACTTATTATAAAATCACAGCTTTATTCTCGTAATATTCAGAAATATTTTTTTTTCCTTTGGTGGGCCAGAGTACTCATTTGTATTTATAGTGAGAACGCATGCAACCTTGATATGAATGAAGGACATTTCCACCACAGAGTAATGTGTTATCATTGCCGCTTATATCACTCTGCCATAATTTCTGTTTTATCGCCTATAATTGATGTATTGTTCAAAGTTTCAGGAATCTGTTCTGTGCAAAGGCACTTACCAAGTGATTTACAGAGGCATTATCACATAATTTTGTCCACCAGACAAGGCTGTGAAGGCGACCATGTTTACGCCAAGGGTTTGTGCAAGAGTGTGTGTGATATGAATTGAGTTTTGTCGAGGGTCTTACCAAAGATATTTGTAGAATGTCCTTTCTTGGCGAGGGGCTTGAGCTCGTTGTGACCCCAGCCGTATTGACGGTAGCTGTCCCACGCGTGCTTCATCATCTGAAACATCAAGCCACACAGAACATTGGATGTGGTCAGAAATTAAGCAATTTGTACCATGATTGTGGTGGATTTTTACATAAAAAAATGTGTTCTTTGTCAATTATCTTCACGATGGAAATTGGACAGCCAGAACATTGACATCTGATGATGTCTTCAGTGTATCTGTACTATACCATATTTTTGTCCCAACCTTACTGGAGAGTTTTGGAGTTTGACAAGCTACCTATCCTCTCAATGAATTCTGACAATACAAATTGCATCACGATACGACGACTATTGATATTTGATATGTTGAAAGAAAACCAAAGATATATCAAACCATCTATGAAACAAAAGAAAACTTCAGTAAATAACTTGCATCAAAAATATCAAACATTCCTGAATATTAAAATACACTATGACCAAGCATAAATTGGATACATTTTCCCAAGAGAAAAACTGCATTTTGATGAAAACATGATATCGCACTTGCGGACTTCATAGTTATGACCACTCACTCACTCATGCAGACTGCTGTGTGAGCAAAAATTTTGTGAGTAGTATAGTAAACGACCATAGTTATCTTTCACACTCTACTTTGCAGATATTTAAGCAATTGTGGTTTTATTATGGTATTTGACAAGATACAGGCAAATCCAAATTCAGAGTTGGACACTTCATTGAAGTACCACTACAAATATTACAATTTATTTTATATGGTATTACTTAATGCAGGGATGGGCAACCACATGTGGCCATTGACCAGATAATTTATTCATTTATTGAGTGTGTGTGTGTGAGAGAGAGAGAGAGAGAGAGAGAGAGAGAGAGAGAGAGAGAGAGAGACAGAGACACACACACACACACACACACACACACACACAATTTTTTCAATTTGTGGGAGATATGACTATGTTTAGCCTACAATGATGCACCCTCACCTGCAGATTCATTAGGTTGCACTTTTTTTTCCAATATGAAGGACCATAGGACCAGGTCTGGGTGCAGGTTAGTCACCGCAATTTCGTGTGGAAAAGTGAGCCTCTGGCTGAGGTCCACCCGCATTTCCCAGTCCCGGGCAACGGTTAGTGGGCCTGACTTCGGAGGAACTGGCTTGGTCTGCAGTTTCTCCCCTTCCCGAACGAAAGGTGTTTTGTATGGGAAGGTCGGCTGGGAAGTTACCTTCTTGTTTTCAGGTTTGTCAGCCAAACCTAATTGTGGCGACAGGTGTATATTCCTTGAGTCAGACTGGTTTTGCACCCCACCAAGATGTGTTTGAGGCTTGCTCGGACAGCACAAAGGGGGCAGGTTGGTTCTTCTCCTTGCCAAAGATGTAAGTTGGTTGGGGAGGACAGGACATCTTACGTGGCCCTAATGATGAGGTTTAGCCTATTAGCCTCCATGCTCCACAGCTTGTTCCAAATGATTTTCCTCCTCTCCATACCCTCGAATGATGAGCTCCATTGCCATGACAACGTCTGTGGAGTGATGGTGCAGCCCCCCATAATGTCGACCTCGAGGTAATGCAAGGCAGTTGTATTAGCCTGTGCTGTAAGACAGAACTGGAGGTCCTGTAAGTAGGCTTTCACTAATCTTGTGATGTCTTCTGGCACTTGGAAGAAGTCAAATGCTGTCCACAATATTTGAATTCTTTAATTATTATGACGATTGCTCTATTATGAATTATTATTGCTCCATGTACAGCACTTTGTATACAGCTGTCGTTTTAAAGTGCTCTATAAATACAGCTAACTTGAGTTACATGTCAACAATGAACCAAATAACTTTTTGAAAAAGTCTTGGGAATGGCCTAAAAAAAGACAAAAACAGTCTTGCAGGACTCCCAAAGTTCATCAAGATTCTTTGGCCTCATCTTCCAAGCCTCCTGCTTCAACTTACCCCAGACATGCGCAATAATGTTCATTCTTGTCTGGTGATGGGGCTGGCCAATTCTAGAGCACCTTGACCATTTTGGCTTTCATGAATTTTGATGTGCAGTATGAGAAGGAGAACCATTTTGCTGAAGAATTTTCCGTCTCATGGTTTGGGATGTAGAAGGCAGAAGGACTTCCTTGATACTTAAGGCTTTTGATGGTGCAATCAACTCTGGAGATCTCTCGCATACCCCATACTGCATGTAATGCCAAAGCCATGATTTTTCCACCCCCAAATGATCGTTTCTGGTGTTTCTTGGGTCCCGACAGGTTCCACCAGGTCTGAAGCAGCATTTGCGACAAATGGGATGCAGTTCAATGGCTGATCAATCATAAAAATCCATCTTTTGCAACTTTTCCACTGTCGGTCCTTTCTGTAGACTGTGGTCTCTGGAAAATGCAAGACGTTTTTCGTCTTTTATTTAATGTTGGTTTGTGAGCACTAACTCGTCCATGGAGACCACTGTGTGAAAGAAATCAATGATTTTTTCTTTAATTCTTAGTGACCAGTTCTTAAGTAGCTCCACTTCTGTTGAAAAAGGTACTGGTCTGTAAAACTATAAAAGCAGTCGTCTTGAACAGCTGTATTTTGGGGTCTGCCACATCTGGTGTTGTCATGGACATCACCAGTATATTCCAACCTTTTTCTTATTCTCTCCACTTGTCGTTTGGATACATTAAAGATGTCTGCCAGCTCAGCAGTAGTCTTGGTCTTAAGACTGCTGATGATCAGGACCATCGTCTCTGGTTGAAACTTTGGCATGGTGTCAGAGATCAGGTGGGTTATTTTTATACATACCTTGGAATGTGCTAATTATGCTGTTTGATACAGGTAAAGCTCAAATCTGTGATTCATTAAATTGCTTTAGATATTTTTGTCATTGGGGGGAAAAAAACCCACGATGGGCTTTACCAAGCTGTGGACATCAGGACAGATTTTGCACAGTTATCAATGCAAAACATTGAAATGAACCATTTACTGTACGAATTCATTGATAAGAAATAAAGTTATAGGCCATTTTTTAACACAATCTCCTTATACGACAAGGCTTCAATCAATGACTGTAAAGTACTACCTTCATGTCAAAACTATTCGAAACACCTCACAGAAGGAAAAAGCTCTTCTTGGCTGAACGACTGTCCCTCTCCAGAGAAGGCAGGCAGCCAAGCTCAAGCTATGAAAGATAAAGGCCCGCACATGGATTTTGTTCTTGGCCTTCATGATATGCAGCCTTCACACGCACCAGCCATTATAAATCAAATAAAGAACAACACACACACCACCTGTAATCCGTGCCGGTTGGACATTTGATCAAACTTTTATTAGCCCGTAGGCAAGGGCGACAGTGCTGAACAACTTATTTCAGACCTTGGAATACTAAATGGCTTAAAAAAAGATGATTGAGTCTGACAGCAAAGTTGTACATTCACAGCAGAGTAAATTACGTTTCCATTATTTGAACAGAAGCTAGATGTGTTACATCGAACAAATCTGTGACGCAGCATATGTTATTTTAGTTTTTAATTAAAAACGCTATGAGCAGGTGCTGGGTAATGTCATGAACATATTGGGAACAATTATCACCCATTTGACGAGAAGTTGTCTTAAAGGGGGGAGCCTAATTTGACCCAAAGTGTCGTAATGACAACGGGCTGCCACTTGTGTTAACATGACATAAAATAAAAAATATTGGTCCTGTGTGGTTAATTCATGATTTATAATGGGATTTATTATACCATGTAATTAAGTCTTGTAAAAACCATTTGTGTAAGCAGGGGTGCCCAAACTTTTTTGAGTGAAGATCTACTTTTCGATAAACCAACCTGAAGTGATCAACCAGTTACAGCGTATGCGCGCAGACGCACGCACGCACGCATGCCATGATGAGCAATAGCCTGACGCTGAGACATGCGACACACGTAGGCCGTTTTAAAATGCTTCTCTCGGCCGTCCAGATTCCCATTCTTTGCCCGTCCCCTTGGTGAATTATAGAAAACAAACTCTGAATGAGAATAATGATAACGATAAAAGATAAAGCACAACAACTATTGTCACAAGCTGCAACTGCAGACTGCTGAGCGCTAACAGCTTACGGTGACGCAGTCACACGTTACCATAGGTTAAAGATGACCTGCTTTCTTTTCTTTTCTTTTTTAAGTACTTTTTGTGAAAGTGAGACTGATTGAATTATTAGGGTGCGGTCTGCATTAACACATAAAATATATATTACTAACATGCAGAGACAAATGTTTGGTTTTTTTTCCCTCTACACCCCTCGGATCGACTTAGGACCAGTCCTTGATCTACAGGTCGATTGCGATCGTCGTAATGGGCACCCCTGGTGTAACACATCAAACTCCCTATTGGACTCAGTCAATATGAAATAATAATGTCTCTCTGTGTTGACAAATAACAGACACATTAAGTTTAACTCATCGGAATGAGAGAACAAACTACACAGGCGGCGCTTGCACACTTACGGTTGAGCAATCGCAAATTTTTTCGAGAACGTGAACCTTTTTATCAGCAGAAAGCAAAAGCGGGTGAATCTATTGATGACTTGAAACTCCTTAATAAAAATCCATAAATAAACAGTGTTACATTAAAGGCTGTAGGGGGGAAAAAGTAGTGGCTTATTGTCCGGAAAATACCATATGGATCCTGAAAGTATTCACAGCAAGTCATTTTTCCAGGCTCATCCCATAATGAAATAAATTATTTTTTTCCTCAAAATTCTACACAACTGACATGGGGAAAAAAGTGTTTTGTTTTATTTCATGTTATTTTTGCAAATTTATGAAATTAAAAAAAAAATGACATCATCTGCATATAAGTATTCACAGAACGTGCTCAATACTTTGCTGATGCACCTTTGGCAGCAATTACAGTCCCAAATCTTTGAAAATGAAGCCACGTGCTTGTACGTCAATTCCACATGCTTGTACGTCAAGCGGTTTTGTCCATTCCTCTTAGCAACACGCAAGCTCCATCAGGTTCAGGGTTTTCTCCAGCGCTGTATATGCCTGGGAGGCTGCCAGGCCAAGCTGGGCTTCATGGTGCGTCCATTTTGGGTGTTTAGGCTG